GCAAATTTGTCAAGATTTACAAGCAACGCTGCTCCATACAAGATACTCACGTCCGACCATCAATATCATCTTTTCTATATCGCTGACTGTAGTTCGGTAAATTGTTGTTGACCAAGGTGACTTTGTAATCTGTGCTCGGTTCGTAATCATGTGATGTCGATCATGGGATGTTCACTGAACTAATGTAAGTTTAATGCATGTGCGCATATATATATATATAACATGCGTATTAGTATCACAAATAATAAATTTCCGATAAATTTTTTTTTTGTTAGAAAAATTAAGTTCAAGTTCTTATTATCTTATTACTTATACGAATGTACATAAATTTAGCTTATTTCTCAAAATTCTTGCTTATACAAATGTATATAAATTTAGCTTATTTCAATATTCTTGCTTACACGAATGTACCTAAATTTAGCTTATTTCTCAATATTTAATAAAAAAACTTTAAAGTAAATAATGAACATAATATGCATATATTTCTATCTCGAGTTACACGCTAAGGATCTAAATATCTTAATATTTAAAGTGTTGCTTAAACAAATAAGTAACTTAATTCATATTTATATATCTTTATTTCGTGCCATTAGGTCTGCTCTCCGCAAAAGCTTGTTGTAAATCGTGTGCCCTTTTTTTTTTGCCATTTCTTTCGTGGCAGCATGATAAAGCGGGTTTGATCCTCTTCAGTATTAGTTTTTTTCACATTATTATATATGTAGTTCCTTGGTCTTCCTTGTCATATCTTTTTAAGTCTATGGCTTGATCCTTGTCTACGCCTAGCAGTTGCAGCGACCTGTACCCTGATTCTTTTACCTCCGCATTGATGATTGTTGCCATTAACTCGACCTGCATTCCAGTTGCATATTTGAAAAAAAGATGATATTGATGGTCGGACGTGAGTATCTTGTATGGAGCAGCGTTGCTTGTAAATCTTGACAAATTTGCACACACTTTTATCTAATACAGGATCGTTTTCCTCAAGAAGTTTTTCAAGATCATGGCAGAACCACTGGAATTCATTCAAAGCTGACTGATGAAGGTTATTATTCTCACTTGTATCACTATTATTATCATTGCTGTCTTGACTATCATTTTCATTACTAACTTGACTATCGCTTTCATTACTAGCTTGACTATCACTTTCATTTTCATTTATATTTTCCTCACTTGAAGACTGTGAAGATATTAAAGATATGGGCTCTATATTTTCTTTATTTGAGTTGTTAAATTCAGTTTCACAACCCATACTATAATTAATATTTTTTATATACGCGGTATATGTAGGTTCTTGTTCAGTCTGTGCTTGATGAATATCTGTGTAAAATTCAA